GAAGGTCCCTGGTGCTGGCTCACCTTAATGGGTTAAACCATTCTAGAATGGTTTAACTCCAAAGTCTTTGTTCCAAGACCAAATCTCCCTGCCTTTCTGCTCTTCTGTTTTCAAAAAAAATCTTTAAACGAAAGACCCTTGCAAAATTGGGAAGCGGTGCTGTTGATTGTCTGGGAGCGGTCAGCTGTTGCTCTCAGCCAATCAGTGAATCCCCATTCATAAAAATGTCTTGAAAAAAACACGTTTTTAACGCCAATAGTCAGATCAGCTGACCATTGTTAGAGAAATTAACGGTTTAGACCTTTTTAGAAAACGGCAGAGAGGCAAGGAAATTTGGCATTGAAACAAAGACTTTGGGGTTAAACTGTCTTGGTACCATAACAACTTAATTTTGATGAATTGTATTGATCCTAAACTGTTCCTTTAAATTGTAATGGCTGCTCAATAATTGTTAATCTTCACTTTGCAAAAAACAGAAATAAACCTAAAATGTAATAAAAAGAAAAGAATATACATTCTACCATAACTTAAAAGATCATGCATCTAATATTCTGAGAGTTTAGCAGATGGCAAGGCAACAGATAAGCTTTAGAACAACACATTTATCTTTAATTCACACCTATATTCTTGGAAAGCTTCAGTGCATATGTTTCATGGGAGGTAACTATGATTTGTTTTTCTGGATAAATTTGCAATCATCTCTCCACTAGTCCACTATTTAAGAAGTACTTGACCATCTCTTGCAAGTTAATAAAATAGAAACAGAACTAAAACGATATGTACATTTCTGTTTCTATTTCATAAACTTCTAAATAGCTACTTATGACCCAAGAGATGATCAAGTCCTTTTTAAATATATAGCTGGGTACCAGCTCTCCAAGGTTAGTACCTGTTAAGTACAAGTAGGTGCCAAACATTAAGATAGATCCAAGGAATACTCAGTGATTTTCACTCTTATGAAAGTTCCTGTGTGGACTAAAACCCAGATTTTTGTTTGCATTTCTGCTTATGTGAACTAAGGCAAAAGAAAAATCCTAAATTTGAAAATCCTGAGTGCGGTAATTCCTTAAAAATAAGTAAATATTATATATATATATATATATATATATATCATTGTCTTTATTATTTCATAATAAATCCTATACTGCATGCATCTTGCTCACTGAATAATTACTTTATAATGTTCTTTAAAATTTACAATAATTGTTAGCATATTTTGACCAAGGCCCAAAACACAGCAACAGCAGAAATTATGTTTCAACTAAATGCTGAATGCAAACGATATGATATATATTTTTTTATATTGAATAAAACATTTTAATTAAATGTCATTAAACATAAGTGTTTTATGCCATGCCAAACCTATGATTTTAATTCTTGCTATATTTACTTGCTTTACTTACTTTACTTAATATATAGTTGGATCTTGTGGTACTTTCTTTATAATATATAATTTGATATGTCATGTACTGTCATGTACATAGTCAAAAAAATTTTGTCCCAAAAAATATAGAAAAAGGAAAGGTGTGTAAATATTTTGTTTTTGTTTCTTCTCTACAAGGCAGTTTTGTCAAGTAGAATATATTGATAAGGTCCATATGGCACAGCGTACTGTTTGATACTTTACATCAATACGTTTTCCAATATTAGTCAATTGCACAGTATGTCTAGATTTGTGTATTTTTTACAGAACACAATTATGAAGAAAATCTTAATTAATGTAAGAATTTTTTTTATTTTTTTTTAATCACTCATGCAAAGTTGAGTTTATGAAAATATATGGAAATACCTGTATTGCATGTTGACTTAAGATTGACTGAAGATTGAATTATAATTGTATTTTAATGTTGTAGAATTCACAATTTTCAGATAACAATGTATTATATTATCTAGGCAACTATAATGAATTGAGTAACCTATTTTAAAAAATCTGGAAGATGCTTTTAAGTTGCCACAGCATGCTGCGTAAGCATTGCCTACCTGTCTCTATAGGTGTTAAAAGCTTTACGGAACATTTGTATAAAATGATGGCTTATTTGTCACCTTTCAAAACCATTCACAGATATATTCTTAACAGAAGTAATATCAGGACTGGGTAGTTATAAAATTATTTGCAAAGGGCATCTTGAGTTTATAAAGACAAATTCAAATTTCCTTTTATTTATAATATGGAAAAGCATCTTGCATTGCAAATAATTGTAAATAATTTTGTGGCTTATTATTAAGGGTACTGTATGTATTTTTTGAGTAGTAATGCATTACGTAATTTTAACCCTTAATATTTACTTTATAACCTTGTTTTTTTTCTATGTTTTGTCTTTTGAATATTTTCTCATATGGTTTAACTGTACTATCCTTAATGAACCATGAGTGATAGGGTTACTATATGTTCTTTAATTTCGTTAACAGTATTTTGTTTTATATAGAGGGATTTCTTTCTATTTTCACTGCAGGTCTAATTGATAAACAGCAAGATATGAGACTTTAGGTTAAACTTTCTCTACTCAGTAGGATTATATTTCTAATTTGGGCATTAATTATTAAAGGTGGCTCTCAAGTCACAGCTCATGTTAAGAGCATAGTAGGTTCGGAGATCCGTTTTGGTTTGAACTTTAGTTCATTTGAATTTGGGCCAATTGGTTGATCGGTCTAATTCCTGAACTCTAAGCCTAAATGTATCCAAATCACTATCCAGCCAAATTGCACATGTTTGTTTTCATATGTGATTTTGAATTCTACCTGTATCACCCCCAAAAAATTTTTTTTTTTTTTTGTCATGCTGCTGTTGTTTTTACGTCTATTGGTTAATTTTTCTCACTTGATCGAATGGCAGGAAAATCTCATAAATCATTGTGGTCATGTCATATTACCTAATGTATAGTTGTTACATTTGTTGGCTAATGTAATTGGAAATGCACTATTTGGAATGTAACTGTTTTTGTTCTTACAAGTTTAGCGTACCTCAGTGTCTTAACTTAAAGTTTATTCCATATTTATCAATAATGGCTCACCATATCACTGCACTGTACATCATATAGTGGTCACGTAGCATTTGGTAGCTCACAAAGATCAGGCATGCCAGAATTAGCCATTACTGTTTGGTTACAAAGAGCAGGCAACAGTCTATTGTTATTTAATGTTTGGCCTTTTCCATGGCAATTTATTAACTAACATTACAATCATCAGTTAAGAGATCACTCAAAAAAAAACAAAAAAAAACACTTGTCAATTTACTAAAACAAAATTGTGAGAAAAGTGCTTAATATTCGATAAACCATTTTATGTGGAATCAAAAAAGTTGTGACCATGCATAGTTACTTGGGGGTTGATTCACTAAATAGAGAATTTTAGCTGCAAGGAAATTGCACATTTGAAGGCAAGAATGAAACCTGAAAAATGAATTGGAGAATTTTTCAAGTTGGGCAATTTTATTTTTTAAAAAGTAATTCTATTATTATTGCTCTAGAATTCCTGGAATTGCCCCCTATAGTTATTTTAATACATTAGATATTTTCTTCAATACCTTTTCAATTGACAATATGAAAAACACAAATAAAAAGCATGCATGTCCATGTTATGCCATGTGAAAAATTATACTTTCATTTCTGACAGTTGTCTAGGGGTGTATACATCAACGGCAACCCCATGCTTTCTCTAATTCCTATCAAGCTAATACATTTTTGTAGTGGGTTTACATATATTTGTAGTCTCCTTATGCTAGGTGACCTTTGTAATCATCATCTGCAGAATTAAAACCATCTACAATGTATTTCATTAAAGAGGTTCGCACAATTAAAAAATTGGAAATGCAGCAAAATATTCACATTCGGACATTAAAAAATCTTAACCTAAAAATATGTTATGTAAACTTTAGTGATAATGTGAAAATATATCTTATTCCCCACTCTTCCCTAAAATGTATTTTAATGAATTTAATTAAATTGAGCATTGAATGACAGGCAGAATACCTTTGCAGCCTACAGGATTCAACAAATCACTCAACAGTGATCTGAGAACCCAATATTTGGCATGAATTTGTCAGAATTCACTGTTTTGTAAATAAATATTATGTTGCAATAAAATATGTTTGAAACTCTCATTCAGCCTACTTGTTGAGGGCAAACTCCTTCAAAGTCCACCACTGACCTTTACAAACTTGCCATTAGTATTACCTGAAAAGCAAATCATTGATTAACATTGCTAATTAGAAACAATATTCTTCAAACAGGATGTGTGCACTATACGGTAAGACAGACATAAAAATAGCTTATTGCATAATAAGGGAGATGGCAGGGTCATATTCTGGGGATACAATTCTTAGCCTTTTAATAAAGCTTAGTGTTGATTATAACTGTATCAGTTTTGCTAATATTATTGTGTAATATATCATATTACGTATATCCTTCCTTTAATTTAATTCTGACATATCTTAAATAGTCTTTTGAATTTCACCATGCTCATTTAATTTCATGTGTCATGATGTAAGCATTTTTAAAAATTATTTTTGCATATTTTATGCATATAATTTATTCAAAAAATCTGCAAATCTTTTTTTTCTTTCTCACACATTATAAAACTAAGCTTTAAAATGTATTTGTTATTAAAAGTAAAAAAAAATAATAGAAAAGCAGTGTTGAGAACATTAAAGCAGATAATATGAACCTATGTATTTAGAGGAATGCTAAAGTATACCCCTAATAGTATTTTATATTTAATTTAATCTATGCAGAATTGCAATGTAGTTTAGCAAGATGTCTGTAACACCTATTAATTAAAATTCTAAATCTTACACTGAATCCCGGACCATCTGTGCCTACTAATTTACTATTCCACAATGAAAAAAACAAAACACCACTACCAAAATACACTTTATTCTACATATTATGATTTCCTTGGTTAATATTAAAAAAAATAATTTGTGAAGTACCTAAAATGTTAACCTTTTAAAGAACTTTCGCAGACAGCTCTGAGTTCTTTTGGGGGTATAATTAGTATCAGTTATCCATTGTTATACAGTCTCTAAGCTGTTTGCTGTCAAAGAGGCCTGCAAGGCATTTCTATTCAATTGCTAGCAGGCCCCTCTCTCAGAATACAATTTAACCCCATGAGTAGCAGAGTAATTAGATGCCCACTACTTTGGAGATTTAAGAGTTAGCATGTATCAGTTTAGATTATCAGTGAGCAATTAAGATAGACATTTGGCTTGGTATAGTGTACACTTCTTTATTTAGCCACAGAAATTCAACATACTGTTCAAACAAACATAAAATATTGTTTTAGTGCATAAACAAATTACAGTCTTCATCAATTAAAAAAAATGGATATATTAATCATATTTCAAAATATGGCAAAGGATTTGGCTGTTACAAAGGGTTAGAGGGAAAAAAAATAGACCACAGAAGTTTAAAACACATTTTCGAGACTGCAGTGATACCTTAATCGAGCCGTGTCAATTACTGTGTGAACAAGCATCTGCTTTATCTTAATTAGATGGGGGGAGGGAGGTGAATGACCACTGTTTATATTCATTTTCCTCATTAATTATGAAAAACTGCATTTAATTCATCTTGCATGGCGAGAGACTGGCTGCGCAGATGGAAGTCATAAGGGAAGTGGCTGTCTGTAGGCAACCTGAACATAGAGCTCTGCCCGAGGGGACCCCTGCTTGGCATTGCACAGTAATGCATGCCGTAATTGTAATTTTTCCCATAGTCCAAGGCCTCTTCTTGCTTCAGGGAAAATATCCCATTATAGTTCATTGAGGGAGGGCTTAAGGGACTTTCAAACTGAGGGCTGGTGCACTCTGGAGAAGTGCTTTCATAAAAGGATTCATAAGCACTACAATAATTGTATGGTTTTGCTGTCTTAGAATTGTCAAGGCTCCCATGGGCTGGTGGGGTACTAAGCTCAGGACTGTGATATGGAGGGTAAATAGAGGCGTACGGGGATCTTGTATGATGCATCGTCTCCCCACTCTGACCCATTAGAAAACTCCTGGCATTAAGCTGCAGGCAGCCTGCCACCAAGTTTGTGGTTGGCTGGGACAAACCTTTGCATAAGTTTTGCACAAAAGTAAGCAAATCAGGTCTCTTCCCAATCCGAAGGATCTCAGACAGAGCCCAAATATAGTTTTTAGCCAGTCTTAATGTTTCTATTTTAGACAGTTTCTGTGTCTTGGAATAACATGGTACAACTTTCCTTAAATTGTCCAGCGCATCATTGAGCCCATGCATCCTACCCCTTTCTCTTGCATTAGCTTCAACCCGTCTCAGTTTAATCCTTTCAATTCTGACCTTGGTCATTTTTTTTTTCCTTGGTCCTCTCCTTCTGGGCAAACCATTTTCATCTTCTTCCTCTTTGTCCTCATCCTCTTCCTCCTGCTCTGTATCCTCTTCAGGTGTTCTCTTGATACTTTTCCCATGAGATACTAGTTGTTTGGCACAGACTTCAGGCTTTTTCACTTGTTTCTGCTCTTCACCGTCCCGTGAAAACTTTCTGCATATCTGAGATTCCGTCATTACAACCGATTCATCAAAAGGAAGTGTTAACATTGTTAACATAAATTACCTGAGAAAAATTAAATAATTGACATTTAAAAAAAATATATCAACATCCAATTAGGACAATGCACACAAATAGATATACAAGTTTCTTGGATAGAACTGACATTTACACTGAATAACCAAGTGGAAACTACAGAATGATAATATTCAAAGATGTATGTAACATTCAAACCATTATTTGAAAATTCTGTATACCTGTCATATGAGAAAAAGATTGAAATGCAAACATGCCAAAGCATTTCCAAATCCTAAATCTGTTTCTTTTCAGTCCCCACCCACTAAAAGTGAAATAATCTTATACAGGCTGAAGGACATTGCCGTGAATTTTCCAAGAAAGTAAAATATGCACCTTGTCACATATTCACAAGTTTTGAAAGTATGCAAATCAATTAATAACAATCATATTAATATCTCTGCACATTTCTCAATAATTGCAAAGAAAAGCCCCCCCAAAATAAAATATTTATTTTCTGCAGGCAAAAAAAATACATATTTTTATGAAGTATCTAATTTAAAAAATATCAGCAATAACTGTGAAGCTTGTGGATTTACTGAACTTTTTATCTTGTTTTAGCAAAACAAACAAGCCCAAAATATATAATATATTTTTCAATTACTTCCTGAAATTAAATTTCTGCTTAGAGCTTTGTTTGTGCATAGAACAATATGCTCCCTTCTCACCTAGCTAAAAAAAAGAGCCACATTTTTTTAAATAAACGACACAATGTATACACTTATATATGTGGCTGTTTGTAGGCATAATACTAATTTTATATATATATATATATATATATATATATATATATATATATATATATATAGCAAAAAGACATAACTAGAGAGCATATTTTAAATTCCTGTTATTTAATTTAGAAAGTGCATGAATGTACCTTAGAATTAAGAAGCACATATAATCAGTTCCTGCACCATTGTTTTGCATGCATTCTATAACAGCTATTTTTGCAATCCTAGTCTGTATGATGACCTTGTTACTTAATAGTATAATGGCAAATTTACAAGAATTAATATAATGATCACAAATGGACAATATAAAATAATCATATATTTTAAGCATTGCATGTAAAAATTAAGCAATTAATGAAATAGAAATAATGCATTTAATTACCTTCTGTTTTTAATTCAATCAACAATCAGTTTTTTTTCATATTTTTTTCTCCTTCCAGATCAGTCTGAATGTCGCATCATCTTCAGGAGTCTAGATATGTGTGTATCTCATTGATCTCTAAAAAAGTGACATTGATGCCAACTGCCAGAGCTGGTACCCATGCCATCTGCTAGTGACGTCACGGGGCAGAGAGAACCACATGATGCGTTCTCCTGGGACCTTTATTCTGCGCTGATCATCTGGCATCCCTGTAAGTGGGTACCAGCATTCATGTATCAACACAGAAGGTTAGAATGATAAAAAAAAAAAATCTGCACCAGCATTTCACATACAGGAGGTGCAGTTCCACAACAGTGCCCTTTTTCCCATGGAATCTTAAGGGATAGATTTAAAAGAAGACAGTAATGGTTATGTTAAGTTTTAAATTCATATTTTAGCAGAGTATCGAGTGAGAGAAATGTATTTGTTTTCTGCCATATTGACCTGCACATGTATAATTAACACCATAGATACCTACATTTGACATGAAACTAAATTTAGCACATGTGTGAAAAAAAAAATGTTAACCCAATCAATTCCATTGAGGTATGCGTACGATTTTATTGTTCACTCATTTTGTCACTGAAAGAGTTAGGTTCCCTAAGGATTGTCTGTTGGTATTTTAATGGTTGCCTTGTTTTGGGGGAAAAAAAGCTTATATATTAAAATAATTATTAACAGAAAGCTTACTATGGTCTCCAAATGGCATGATCATTTTTCTTAAAATTGTTAAATGCAATTTATTAATAATCACATTATTTGTACGAGTGCATTTTTGATTAGAAAATAATCTCCTATTAATATTTAAAACTTCTGTAACAAATGAAGATTTGTATTTAAAAAAAAAAATTCCCTTACATTTTCATAAGACTGGCATATTTTTTTTATGCATAGTAAAAATATATGTAATGATTACTATTTTGCACTAAAAAAGAAAACACAAAAATACATTTAAAAACATAATGTTCACCTCTATATTATTATTTTTTTAATTTGATTTATTTTTTGTTCATAAATAAAAAGAAGGAGTTATTCTTGTTGCATGTCTTAATGTTATTAACACCTTCAAATTTAGAACCTAAGTGGGCATCCTACACAGACATTTAATTAAATAACAATACGATTTTAACCATTTGTAAGACATAGGGGTAATCAATTATTTTGGCTGAAATCGATATCTTGTATGACTTCTGACTTGTAATCACAGTCCATAGTGTGCTAAAGAATTTAACCCACCCTCTTATGACTTTCTCCCCCCTTATGCGCTCAGTGTATTCCCCCCCCCCTCCCCTTCAGCATTTGTGTTCAAATTAATCTTTGTTGTTATCTTCAGCTGTTTTTTTTTATTCTATTCCCATCTGCTTTTATACTCTATACAACCACAATTCTTCTTCTTCTCCATTTCCTATGGTCTTAAATATTGTTGAATTATTATATGTACCATTCTATTGAAAACTCTTTATTTAGTAAATTTAAATCCACTCTTCTTTATTTATTTTTAAAATAATATAGCACAATGATTTTAACATTTCTAAACATTAACAAAATGCATTTTTTCATGAAAGTAACAGTCAACATTTGGTATGGTTAAATATATTGTTTTCTTTAAAGCGACTATATCATGCATAGCATGAGGCCCATTTAAAATTGCAAATTATTTAATCTATAAATTGTGCAAGCCAGATGGCTTGTAAAATATCTAGATTTGCAAATATAATAAATCTAAAATATTTACAACATATCCAGTTCAAGCTTGGCTGTTGCATATGCTGCATGGAAGACCTCCTTGTATTTTGGCATCACGGCATCTTCTAAAACATATATTAAGTAATTCAGAAATTGTTTTGGGTCGTAATAAATAGATAAAAAAATCACAGTATAGTATGAAAATACTATAAATTTTTACTAAAGACAAGACAAGATAGAACTCCTGCCACATACATTTTAAATGTCCTACACTTATATAGAATAAAAGTTAATTAAGTACATATAATACAACTTAATTGAGGTATATCATTATAACTGAGCATGGTTCATTGGGAGATACCAACGTAAGTTACTGCAAACAGAAAATCAGATACTAAAGGAATTTTTTTTCCTGTTGATGCTATTTATTAGTGATGTCTCCATGTGCCTTGTTAAAGAAACAGCATTTGCACATGTCAACTTTAAAGGGGTCCTATCGGACTGGAAGTAATCCATCCTTTTAAAAGATACATTCAAATGTGCAAAAACTATTTATTCAAATTAATAAAATATACTCAATTTCTTTTGTTTATAAAGTAATAAGAGCTAAAATATATACTATTACATTTCCTTAAAGGACCACTCTAGGCACCCAGACCACTTCAGCTTAATGAAGTGGTCTGGGTGCCAGGTCCTTCTAGGGTTAACCGATTTTTTTTATAAACATAGCAGTTTCAGAGAAACTGCTATGTTTATCAATGGGTCAAGCCTTCCTCCAAATCCTCTAGTGGCTGTCTCATTGACAGCAGCTAGAGGCGCTTGCGTGATTCTCACTGTGAAAATCACAGTGAGAGCACTCAAGCGTCCATAGGAAAGCATTATGAATGCTTTCCTATGCGACCGGCTGAATGCGCGCGCAGCTCTTGCCGCGCGTGCGCATTCAGCCGACGGGGTGGATCGGAGGAGGCAGAGAGCTCCCCGCCCAGCGCTGGAAAAAAGTAAGTTTTTACCCCTTTCCCCCTTCCAGAGCCGGGCGGGAGGGGGACCCTCAGGGCACTATAGTGCCAGGAAAACGAGTATGTTTTCCTGGCACTATAGTGGTCCTTTAACTGTGTGTAAATCCCAACACATGACAATGTATTTGTGTTGCACTTATAATAGATGTACAAGTGTTTCCTTTTAACATTCTATCCCCATCTATGAGTGGGTCTTTAGTGTCCCTCTAATGCTGTTTATGAGACATGAATCATAAAGACACATTTGTGCAACTTAACTTGCAATAGTAAAGAAACACTTACCTCCGCCTAGCACCATTAAAAGGAGTCAAAACTTACCTTACTTCCAGCGCCGCACAGGTTTTGCTGACAATGGCCCCACACCCGATCCACCCCTTTTGTGACATCATTAGATTTTTAGCCAATCCAATGCTTTCTCATAGCAAGATCATGGGATTGGTTGAAATCAGCAGGGATGTGGGATGGGGGCGTTGCCAAACACTGTTTGGCCAATTAGCACCTCTTCATAGGGATGTATTGAAGCAATGCATCTCTATGAGGAAAATTCAGCATCTCTATGCAGAGCGTGAAGACGCTGAACTGCAGTGCTGCCCACTGTGCAGCAGTACCCCAGGAAGCACCTCCAGTGGCCAGGAAGCCCTATATGCCATCCCCATTATAATGGGCTTTAACCCCTTAAGGACACATGCCATGTGTGACATGTCATGATTCCCTTTATTCCAGAAGTTTGGTCCTTAAGGGGTTAAAGCCTTTATGGTGGAATAGAATGCCCTAACGGTTTTTAGCCCCAGGAGCTGAAATATACTCACCTCTGCCCACTTCTGGGGGACAGCCTGACAGCCAAGGCAGTCTCCCTTGACAATTAAAGCCCCCGCGGGCCATGTGATCGCTCTGAAAGAGCGACCGCATGGTAGGCATAGCTGCCTATGCAGCTGCCTGCAGAGGTACTGCCTAAAATGACAGTCCTTCTCCCTACTGGTGAAAAAAGATTACAAAAATTTTGTTAGAGCAATTAGGTGAAAAAAGTGTGTGTGTGTGTATTATATATATATATATATATATATATATATATATATATATATATATTCCATAATAAGTGTATTTTTATATTGATAGTTTTATATATATATATATATATATATATATCTCAATATAAAAATACGCTTATAATGGAGTTACATACATATATATATATATATATATATATATATAGTAATTATATAATATATATATATTAATAACATTAAAATAATAAATACATTAAATATGTAAATTAAATAAATAATAATAAACTGGCCTACATATTTGTTTGTGTTTGAAAAATGAAAAAAACAAGATATCCGCTAACTTTGCCAGGGTTTGTGACTAAGTGGCTACTAAAAAATACTGGACATACCCCATTTTGAATACCCTGGGTTGTCTACTTTTACAAATGGTATGCCAGGATGGGGTTAATTTTCATTCCTGATCTACCAATACGGTCTCAAAGGGAACATAGGCCCAGCAAACCATTCTGGCAAATTTCAATGTGCAGAAATGGAAAAGGGGAAGGCCTTATATTTTCTAAAGTTTCTGTATGTTTCTAAAAACTCATAAAACATGTACGTGGGGAGTACTTTTGTACGCCTGAGACATTGCTGAATACAAATATGTGTATTGCAGTAAAATCTAACTGTATTATGACATTCACAGTTAAAATGTTATGCAGAAAAATGAAAAAAAAATCTTAATTTCTCACACTTTTTTTTAGATTTTATTCACATTCAGTTATGTTGTATATATTAATATGTGATATGAATGACAGCCCTGTTTCTCCTGAAGAAAATGATATATAGTAAGTGTGCGTGCACGTAATATGAAAGAGGTAAATTATGGTTGACGTGTAGCGAAAATTCCATGTTTTGTTTACATTTTGTTTTGATCATAACTTGTACAATTGGCTCTATCCTTAAGGGGTTAAAGAAGTATATCAAATAAAAAAATTAAATGATAACAATAGATATGTTTCTGATTATTGATTAGCAGGAGTTTTTTCTTGCTCATTATTATTTATGCACAGAAAGAATTGTTTTCTGATTTTGCAAAAAAATTCCAAGAACATTTGGAGGTTGCTGTGAGCAATATGGACATAGGCATTTTGCTAGGAATTGGTACACACATTGCTAAATGGGAGTTAGAGGTAACTAGTGGGCAGACAGTTATACAACATTTGGAAAAACATTTTTTCAAAATTCTTCAAAATGTTGGTTTTAGTGGTTAGATTAGCATGCCCTCTTTCTTTTGCGTTAAACCGAAAACCTTAAACACAAGTGTTCTGTTACATTAAAACCACTTCTCACTATAGGGAGTGTGCAGGAGCATTGCAGACTTATGGTGCACAGTGGCAATTGTCACAATCATCCTACCAAATGCTTTGATAGAAAACCACTGAATGTTGCACTGCACATGTGTGTGGTGTGCGATTCATGGTGGCAATCTGAGTGATATCTCAGC